AAATATTTTTTTTTTACCTTTATTATAAATTGAACTTGCGATGAATTATCCGCGTTCAAAGGTCATCTTCAACAGAGTCATACTTTCAAGCATWGGTTCCATCAATTTAAGCTTATAAAGTCTATTCTTTGTTTTCTCAACAATCCAGTGCTGCTACATGATAGTTCTTTTTTGAAATGTCCACACTTTTCAGTCGACAAAAGAAGCCTGACAGAGATGTTGCTTTTTCCCATAGACGCCTCTATAATTGCAGTATTTCCAGTACAGTATCATCTTTTTCTTGTTTTCGAAATGTCAAAGCAAAAAGTCCGATCCTGTTTTCCCTTTTTCTCGTTACTAAAACTAAAAGTGGACATATAAAAAACGCTTGAAAATAAATTGCTTTTTCATCTTTCGCAATCGATTTCCCGGATGTGTACACGCGTTCCAGTTAGTATGACAAAAATTCTGGCGGGAATATATATATCTTTTTTTGATTTCGCTCTCTTTTGTATTTTTTGGCTTGTGATTAATTTTTCTAATATTATAAATTTGTAAGATAAATGTTTGAGAAAAAAAAATCGATGTTTTCAACAAATATTTTTTTTTCTTTTCGCGCTGAGTATGGGTTTCCTGTGGTGGTACACAGACTAAAGTAAGGAATACGGAATAATACGGAAAACGGAATACGCGCGGGAAACTTGCGTCGGTCCATGAAAAATGGACTCGATTGATATTTGACACACAAAAAAAATTGCGCACGGTCTTGAGTTCAGTGTACGTCGTCTTATTGACACACTCTTCACGTCATAAAATGTTCAAAACTCATGTGGACCCTTGAGCGCAGCAAGGAAAATCAATATCGGCGCGCCCTTTGTCTTCTTTTCCTTCACCCTAGAGATGRCAGAAAATGAAATTTTCAGAAACTACAAATTGGCATCCTAAAAGATTCACAATCACGATTATTTACCCCTAATAAGAGATCCGACGGGCACACCCGGTACTTTTACTCCGGAATCCCCGGGAATTTGTTTTCGTAATATTCACTGAATATAGAAGGCTAATTAAGGTTGTGTTCTTTATTTTAGGTGCACTCGATCCAGTAGCAAATATTCAAACCCAACGCGACCTGCCTAATTACATCATAGAAAAATGCACTTCTTCAGCCCTGGTGAAAGTAATATCCAAAATCGGTAAAGGCTTCATGATTTCGCCTGAAGTATACGATGTCATTAACAAGCTTCTTAAAAGCGACGAAGAAAACGCAACTGGCGATACACAAGTTCTTTGTGAACTTTTTTCTGGGGAAAGATCCTCTTATCGATTCGCAACAGAAAATATCCGAGAAATTCCACCAAACGTATCGTTTTCAATCCTGGGTACGACACAAGTACCGTATGCCGCACGCCTGATTTGCAGGATGGACCAGGGTCATGGTCTATATGACAGGTTCTTGTTTCTATTCCCCGAATGCACCAGGCCAACAACAGATAAGACMATAGAAGCGCAACAGTGGCTCGCTTCTGATGCCGCTCACCATAAAGATCTTCATGACATCTTTCTTTATATGTATGATTTACACAAGGGCCCAACGTCCTTTTACACCTTCACAGATGAAGGGCTCCAGCTTCTAAGATCGCTAAGCGACGAATTCATAGAAGAAGTCAATAATGCTATATTGACAGGAAATGTTGGCCCAAAGTCGAAGCGCCTTGACCTTATCCAAAGAGTAGCCGTTGTTCTGCACGTGTTCAACTACGTTGCGTCATCAACCATCCGAGGTCTACAAGCCCAAAGACCGCCACAATACGTGGACAGGGATACACTTCAATCGGCAATAAAACTGGTTGAGTACTCGGAAAATCAAAAGGAGATAATGTCACAGGTAAATTATATCTTGATGACATCACTAACAATATGATTAATCACAGGCAGCACCCGCTGGCATTATATATTTCCTGTTTCCTTTCTTTCTTTTTTTTTTGCGCGCGCTATTAATCATGGGTTCATATACCAACATATACCAACCCCGCGCCTCGCGCGACCATACCAACAGTTGAGCTTCAGTGTGACGTCAATCAAAASACGTCACTTTGGCCCTTTTTCGACACCACTAAAAGAAAGAACAAGTCCAGTTTAGTAGGCAACGAAAATTGCGGACCTCTAGCTCAAAAGGGAGTGGCTGATGTTCAAAGTGCTCAATGTTTTATAGGACGTACGGTATTGACAGGCATGTCGTGACGTATTATGAAACCCAGGCAGGCTAGATACTATATATACGTCTCTCGGGATAAGAACGTTACCACAGAGAGTAAACACACACAGTAAACGCATATAATATCAATTAAATAATAAAATCGTGCGCCTTCTTTTTTAGTCGGACCACCTGTGATTGATGTCAATTATATATAATTAGTTCAAAAACCCAAAGTGTACATTATATTTCACTATAAATACTGTTACTTACCGATGTAAATTACCCGAAATAGTTAGTGCAATCCTTAATAAGAGATTTCATCATCATCATCATCATCATTAGATGTCATTTCAGCTTCCCCATTGTTATGTAAATTAAAAAATTGTCTTATAGTTAATAACAATATAGTCATCCATAAATTATTRCAGGTCATTGCAGATTTGACCTCGTCTTCAACCGAACCAGAAGTGCTGCAGCCAGATAAGAGAGAAATACAAGCTGCAGTCCTCAACTTCCCAGGACCCATTGTTTGTTTTAGGGGATTTAAACAAAGTGGGTCTAGAAAAACAAGAAAGATAAACCGCATAGAATACCAAGCGGCAATTTCAGCACTTTCCCCAGCCTATGGCACAGARGTTACAGTAGAGGTTCTCCCTGCACGACGTCCCTTCAGGTGCTTCCTAAAAAAAGATCCAAGGGAGATTGAAACTTGGGATCTGCCATTCTTGTCTTTGGAAAGCTATCAAGCAAAGTTCCATTGCGCAGTACACAGTAGTATCTCTGAGAACGTTCGTCAAGCCCTCATTAGAGATGGGCATACAATTCCAGATTTCTCACCATGTAAGTACATAGAGTGATGTAACTATTTACCTTTTAATTCACTGATGTAAAAAAAATTGTTATTTCTCTTCTCTAAATGATCAATTGTAACATCCTGTTTAACGGGGGGAGGGGACTCCCCTACATTCGCTATACGGGGACGTGCCGCCAGCCAGGGTATCGTTTTCAGCGATTTTACTCTGGAACAGGGTCAGGGATTTGAGGTCCCAGCGGCACACCYCCACCCAAGTTTCGGGGGAGTACCCACCCGGGCAACTTGTCTTGCATATGCCTAGCCGTTGTTTCAAGCCCTGTAATTGTATTCTGACATCACAATTCAAGTGCTTATTAAAYCTYTTTGATTTTGTTTCAGGAAGACTAAGAACATCAAAAGAGGGGAAAATATTGCATATTACAGTTTGACTATGAACTCTAACACTAACCAGACAAATTTTACAGTTTATTTACAGCGTTTTCCTGCAGCTTAAGACAATAACATTTTAGAAATTTATTATTCAAAAACGTTTTCCTATAAGGATTAATATTATTTAATTACAATTTTGTGCAAATTATATTTCTTTAAAACTAGACATCATTGAATGAAACTTATGGGAAATTTGTCAGGGTGCATGGCTTTGGATAGAGTACAAAGTCACAAATGTAATTTTATTTGATTTTATCCCTATGCAAAGCTGAACAATAGACTTGAACATATAATCATCAAATATTACATCAAAATGCAAAGGACTTTGTAAATTAATGCTGTTGGTTGCAAATGATCAGTTTGGATATTTATCTTTCCAAGCACATATTTCTATTTATAATTTAAGCATAATTATTGACATTTTAGTCCTAGGATACAGACCAGTGTCATCAAAGTAAAAATGAAATGCTCCTCGATGCAAGACACATTTTTATTTTGAAGCAAACATAATGTTATAAATATACAAAAGATGTAACATAAATTCCAATGATTATTTTTATAGCTTGATATGAGTTCATGACGTGTACTGGCAAGTACTGGAATAGTCAATCAATTTGATATTTATTATTGAAATGTTGCATGTAATTTATTGGAATATATAGTCCAAGGATTCAGACCAGTGTCATCAAGGCAATAAGTAACTATCTATTTTGAAGCAAACATATTGGAATGACTTATCATACCATTAAAAGTTTTTACAACTATGTTACAAAAGTTATAACATACATTCCWATGGTYATTGTTAWGGCTTGATATGAGTACATGGCATGAGTGTGCACAAATTTAGTGACATTTAAGGCTTAAAATACTGGAATAGCCAATCAATTTTGATATTTATTATTGAAATGTTGAATGTAATTTTATGAAATATGTTCAATAATAAAAGTATGGATCTCTAGCCAATGATATGTGTTTTGCCGTGCAGTTTAATATTCTGATCAGTATTAAATTAAGCTAATTTATGCATCCACTTAAAATTAAAGATGAATAGCTCTCTATGAAGCGTAAATATCTTTAAGGTATGTTGTTTAACGCTCGCTTTTCTTACTCTACAGTGCATTCGTACATTTAATCCATGATGTATGTAATATTTACAACATGAGCGGCCATACGTGAGCCTATAGGCACCTTTTAACAATCATGTTTGGGAACATTCTCGATCTTTTGTACTTTCACGATGAGAAATCACGATATAAAAAGCAACAAAAACACTCGAAAACTAGCGTAAAAAAACTGACTTATGGGGCGGGCATTTGACCACTCATTTGCTTTTACTAGTGTGGGCACTTGACTGTCAATTTTGACCATATGGTGGGGAATTTGACCACTTTTTTTTCGAAAAGTCAAATAGCCGGTTCATCAATTGTTCATTTTGATTGTATAAAACCTTTTCTTTCTTCAGCTGCAACGTTTTCAAGATCTCGTTGAAGAGATAAGTAGGCATAATACCAGAGTAGCTTTGATGGTCCTCTCGTTTTCAAATCCTACAACAGGCCCTTCGCGATGGAAAGGAGTATTCTTTATCTCTGGATCGATGGATCCTAATCGGGCTTTGCAGACATGTTTGATTGCACCACAGGTAGSCCAAACTCAGCACTTGTCGGTCTTGTAGAGAAAAGCGAAAAATTTRATAAAAGTCGGAAATCTCAATAAAATACATTCAAACTCACAAAATATCTTGTTCTTAATTTATTACACACCTATGCGAAGTTTCAGCTCTCTACAGTGAAATAAACCGCCTTTTTTTCTTAATGTTGACTGATTGAGACACTGACTTGGGCCACTAGGGCCTAGTAACTAATAAGACCGYTGACCGGCTCAAGTGAGACGGCCATTTTGTTTAGTTCTGCCCAAGACTAGCCTTCTATATTGTAAGTCAGTTTGTATCTACTTCGTGTATTACTATTATATATTTGTATTGGGTTCCGTTTTAATTGTAAGGWCGTGTTTACATTATCCTTGTGTCACGATTTGTATTTGTAGGACTTCATCATCGTTGCATTGTGCGATAATAAAAATGTGTCTTGCATCGAGGAGCATTTCTTCATCGKTTCCAACTTTTATTGAATTTTTGGTTTTCCTCTACAAGACCCTCGGAGAAAAGCCGAAAAGTGCTAAGTTTGAGCTACCTGTGATTGCACAGCAGTAGAGAAAAATCTTTTCGAAAACAGCACAGGCAAAAACCATTTTCTGTTTTAGTGGATTGGGGCTAATGTTGTAATTTAACCATTATTGATTTTCCATCATTACATCGGGAAAGAAAAATATAGGCGCATGAATAGCTCATGAATATTAATGAGTTCGCGTATCCGCGTATCCGCGTATCCACTTCCTGAAGAAACTTTGAATTTGAATATCAATGAGGTCGCGTATCCGCGTATCCGCGTATCCGCGTATCCACTTCCTGAAGAAACTTTGAATTTGAATATTAATAAGGCCGCGTTGTATCCGCGTATCCGCGTATCCACTTCCTGAAGAAACTTTGAATTTGAATATTAATGAGGCCGCGTATCCGCGTATCCGCGTATCCACTTCCTGAAGAAACTTTGAATTTGAATATTAATGAGGCCGCGTTGTATCCGCGTATCCGCGTATCCACTTCCTGAAGAAACTTTGAATTTGAATATTAATGAGGCCRCGTTGTATCCGCGTATCCCTAAAATTACATTTAGGTCTTCGTAGTTTTGTGACGTCAGTCGTGAGGTTTTTACACCGAGGATTAGCCATATTTGATTTTGCGAAAACCATTCCAGTTTGTTTTAAAGGTGTGGTTTACCTGTGTGGTGAATAAAATGCTGGGAGTCTGGGAATAACTAGTAAGCATACGCGCATGCGCGCGTGAGGTTGGCGCCAAAGTATGAAATGGTTCCATCGAAAGCTTCGCACAAAATATCATCTTTTCACGCTTCTGATTGTAAAAAAATGACTTGAATTACATCACTGATGGAGTGGACGCATACTAAATCAGCTCTGCAAAGGCTAGAATGCCTTCTTACTTGTAAAATATGGTACGTAAACATAGTTTAGACATTGT